CCTATGGGGTAACCATGGAGGCTGACCTATTTTTTTAATAACCATGGTTATTAAAAATAGTAAATGTTTTATGCATGGTTACCGGGAATTTTACAGGAACAGTTGAAGTTTATGAATGCAATTCGACCAATCAGATGGCTGGATTTCTTAAGTGAGGTATATAATAATATCTATCGTTTTATTTGTCAAGCCAAATCGACTGGCAAGCAGGTGTTCGTGAGTTGCAGCCTTCCCGTAGTAGACCAACTGATGGTATCCCTTGTTGAAAAAAGGTTAACAGACGAAATGAAAGCCAACCCGGACAAGTTTTGACACCAGAGAGCGCAAGGACTTTGAACTCAAACATTCCTCTCATGAATTCAGCCGACGAGTGGACCTTTTTTATGCCTCCGCCACCGAAGGTGGTGCCGGAGGCATCATGTTTTCGGGTTGTCCGTCCGTACGTCCGTCCGTCCGTCCGTCCGTCCGTCCGTCCGTCCGTCCGTCCGTCCGTCCGTCCGTCCGTCCGTCCGTCCGTCCGTCCGTACGTCCGTCCCGTTTGACCGTTATCACAATATCTCAAGAACCATTTAAGATTTAAACTTAAGACTCGGGAATAGTATTTATCACCATAGGAAGACGATCTGATTAGATTTTGGAGTACGTAGGTCAAAGGTCACAGGTCACAGAGGTCAACTTATGAAATTCCTTGTATTGAGTTTGTTAGCGCGATATCTCAAGAACCATTTGAGATTTAAACTTCAAACTTAAGGATAGTATGTATCACCATAGGAAGACGATCTGATTAGATTTTGGAGCACGTATGTCAAAGGTCAAGGGTCACAGAGGTCAACTTATGAAATTCCATACATTGAGATTGTTATCATGATATCTCAAGAAGCACTGGAGATTTAAACTTCAAACTTAGTGATAGTGTGTATCACTATAGGAAAACAATCTGATTAGATTTTGGAGCACGTATGTCAAAGGTCAAGGGTCACAGAGGTCAACTTATGAAATTCCATACATTGAGATTGTTATCATGATATCTCAAGAACCACTGGAGATTTAAACTTCAAACTTAGTGATAGTGTGTATCACTATAGGAAAACAATCTGATTAGATTTTGGAGCACGTAGGTCAAAGGTCAAGGGTCACAGAGGTCAACTTATGAAATTCCATACATTGAGATTGTTATCATGATATCTCAACAACCACTGGAGATGTAAAAACTTCAAACTTAATGATAGTGTGTATCACCATAGGAAGACAATCTGATTAGATTTTGGAGCACGTAGGTCAAAGGTCAAAGGCCACAGCGCACATTATGAATGCAAAAACAGCTTGTGATCGTGTTATCTCAAGAACCGATTGATGGATTCATGCCAAAATTAGGTCATGTTTGTTACTCTCAGAGCCAATGAACTGAGTAGATTCTTGGTTCATAAGGTCAAAGGTCAAAAGTCATGGGCCCATTATGTATGCAAAAATAGCTTGTGAACGCATTCTCATTAGAACTGACAGATGGATTACTATTTAACTCAGAACATCTTGCAGAGCCAATGAACTGAGTAGATTTTATGGTCATGAGGTCAAAGATCAAAGGGTCATATATGTATATGAGAAATTGCTTGTAATCACAATATTCTGAGAACCTGTCAATGGATTACCATTGAACGTGAATTCAATTTTTTTTTTCTGTTTTGGTTTGTAAAATTGCTCTATAACGGAGGCATCATTTTCGACTGCGCGCAGTCGAATTCCATCTAGTTTAACACTTGCGTGGCATCAAGACCCGACCAAATTAGCTGAAACCACTTCCCCATTCAGTTGGTGGACTGTTGGAGATGAGTCAGAGGCTTGTGTATCACAAGATGGATCTCCTTCTTCAGACATGACCTTTGAACCTGATGGGACCATGGGTGCTGTATCAAAATCGTTCATGAACTTTTCAAACAAAACTCAAGGATCAAGGATTTTGTTACTCGTCCACCAACAGAGACACTATGCATTGAGCTTGACCTGTTTATGTTTGGAAAGGAGCAGGGTTCTTTGGACAATTTATTCCACAATTCTTCTTATTTTTTTCTTCTTTATTCCACAATAAAGGTGCTCAGATTTAAGGGGGTAGCATCAGAAACCACACTCATTCTGGTATCAGACCATGTACAGTAGATGTACCAAGGAAATGCTCTGATTAACACTATAGAAAAAAACAAAAAATGTGTATGATCTACCAAAAGTGACGTGTAATTCTAGACACGATTATAAAAGGCATATTTTTTATCAATAGTGAAGTGTTAATTATTAAACATCAAATGATACAGCAAAAAGAAAATCCAGAGTAAATTTTCATCTTTTCTTGTCTGTCCACAAAGTTTGTCCAAAAAGTATATCAATTTTAAAACAAACACCATTTAATTTGACTGAAGTCTAGAATACTTTGAAATAAAAGACAAATGCAACTATAACTAATTTCAATAACACTGGCTTTCTTTATTTGCAAATAAAAGATAAATGTTCACACGGAAAAAGTACATATACATATGTATTTATTTCATTTTCCATTGTTACGTTTCAACAAAGGGCCTAAAAAAAAGATGTTGTATTGCCCTTTACGTGCAAACACATGGGTCGGTCAGTCGAAATATTTAAAAAAACAAATTTTTTTTTCTTCTCCCTCTTTGGGCTGGTATTTCTCAGTTTTGAATGCTTTAAATACAATTTTTTCTATCTGTTAACCATTTTTTTTCTAAAAACGTTAAAAAAGAAAATTAAAAAAAAAAAAAGCCGACTGTAGATTTTAACATTTTTGGGTCGGTCGCAAAGGGAGCAATACAACACCTTTCTTTTTTGCGCCTAGTGGTACACTGATAATTTTACAAGAAAGAATTGCACTAAATTTGCTCTTTCTTTTTCAATTAAAAATGGAAAGATACGCACAAAGATGTTTCAATCAAGGAGAATACATACATTTATTGGCAATAAGGAATTGAGTAAATTTCAAGGTTACATTGCATGTACTTGAACATTTCAAATTCATGTACTGGTAATGTAATAAATTAAATGTGGTCAAACATTTTAAGATAATGTTTTTATGTAATTTTGTAGACAGAAATATCTAGTTTTGATCATGATATTATATGAAGGTTATACCTTTGCACAGATCACCACATTGACTTGATTTAAGGTAACTAGAGTGTAAATTTTAGTAAATAAAACCAAAAGGAATTTGGCAGTGCTCACAATTGCTGTCTACCAGGAGTCATTTTGGAAAATACTTGCATGCAATCTTTGCTTTCTGCATAAATGTTGTGAAAGTTACTGAATCAATGGAATAACTGTTTACTTCAAGGATAATAAACATACCTGTACATTATTTTTTTTTACATTCAATAATAAATTTGTTATGAAAAATGTACATATTCTTTGTCATTGCTTTGTGCATTATTGTAAGAAAAACCACATTTCAGACATAATTTGAAAAATGTGCATTCTGCCCAAATCTTAATTTCCTTAGAAATATTTAAAACATATTACAATTCTCTTAAACTTTCATCTAATTTCATCTGTGATTTTAAAAAGCTAATCTTGAGTTGATGTAATGAAATTGAAATGATCAGTTGATGAGTTGTACAAATGGATTTAAGAATCTAGCACTGGATATAACATTCACTGAAAGACACATTTCTTATAATTATTTACACATGATCATCAGACTATAATTTGCATGTGACAACAATTTACTTTATTTCCCAGCCAACCTATAATTCAATTGGATGGCTTTGAGGGGGATATCAGGATTTTGTTCCCCTGTCTGTGTAGATGCCAAGCCACTATTTTTTCTGTAGTACACACTGCCTTGCACTGTTGTCTTCTAAAGCAACAACAATAACATTAGTGTGGAGCAACAGAGCAAATATCTTGTCATGTGAGACCACCAGTTTACCCCATAAAATGATATAGAAATATATCATCACATCACACAGCTTATAATCCAAAGATAACAAAATGCACAAAGTACTGTACAAGTAAAAATGATGTTTACTGGTAAATGTAAAATCAGGACATGAAACAAGTAAAACATGAAGAAAAAACACTGATTTTTTTCTTCTTTTTAACTGGCTTTCTGACCACAAGTTACTCCAAATGTAGTAGAAAACTAGGAAAAGATATTGGAGAAAAAATGTATGGACGTTTAATTGATCTTTGAAAGTCACCAAGCTTATGAGATGGTGATATGTAGGGAAACTCAATGATGTACACTACATTCATGGGAAGTCTTACTCCATTCATTAGTATACATGCACATTTCGGCAGGGTACTGACAGGTCTTGTGCCTCAATATGAACTTCCATTTTCTTAATTTTGCAAGAATGAGATAGCTAGCAAAATTTTTGAGTTTTTCATTGTAAAAGTGTAATATTGTAGTAACAATATATTACATGAATAATAAAGAATCAACAGACGACCTCGCTGCCCGAAATGAGGTGCCAAGAGCACGAATAGTGGGAAACTGGGAATTTCAAATTTCTCGGTGGGGGTGGGTGGCTGCAGCTTACCGGTATTGGTCTTTTCAACTTTTAACTATAACCTTTTTGAATTTGTCCACTTATGTTAAAATCAGTTTCTCTAATTTTTCTCCTCTCTATTCACGCAAAAGAAGAGATTGGATTGTCCTTTAAAATCAGTCAAAGGAAGATTTGCGAGAAAAAATAATATCTTACAATTACAAACCTACCTTAAATTATTGTTTAAAAGACAATGATTTGCAGCATGACAACTTTGGTCTTGGCAAGTTTAACACTAAAAATTGGCAATGAAAATGGTCCAACTGTAGAATATGCACTATAATGTCCAATTAAATATATGACATTAACTGAAATCTATTTCAACAAGTACATGTACTACAGTACTTTGCCTTCAAGAGTTTTGAGAGAATAAGGATAGACAAGCAATCAAAATCAAGCTTTCTGTATTTATTTAATAGCGCACCTAAATGGAATGCTTTGCTCAGCAGAACTCAGCATATAAACCCGGCTCCTGTGGTAAATCCCTTCATAACGCCATTTAAGCTTTTTATTCACTGTGGATTAAAAGATGGTAAGACTGACACAATAGGCCTGTCTATATCACACTGAAGTTGCAAATTAACTCGCTATCTTTAGACTCGGGATGTTTTTTTCCTGAAGCTCGTAATTGTGTCTTCACCAGACCGATATGCTCATCACAAACTAGCGCAAATTAGCCGGCTACTTCCTAAATATCGGGCTATTTTGGAAACATGACCAAAATTTTTCAGGATATTTTCTCGACCAAATAGCCCACTAATTGCAACTGCTGGCTGATGAAAATTTGAGATCGGGCTAGTTAAAATAGCGGTTATTTTGCAAACTTTGGTCTGACGAAGACAGGCCTACTGTTACAATGGTAGAATTACATTATATGTGTGGGTGTGACAAAACTAGATTGTTCTCTCTTTACTCCAAAATTTATTCCAAATTTCAAATTTGTTCAGAAGCCGAGAAAGCGTTGACCATAATATTACACCAGCCTCTGTAAACATTTATGAGAATTTTGAGTTGATCCTGATCATGTTCATGCGTAGCTCGTGTTCCTCTCGCTTCCACATGTGTTCTTCCAACAACCAGGCATGCTCCTCTCTCGACATTTGAATTCGAAGATCGTGCTCCCGTTGCAAAAGACGCTTCTTCAAAGTGCCGACGCTCTCCTTTCTCCTCTTGAGCCTGGCCCTGCGAGAGCCGTCTGCGTCTTTGCCGGGCTCCGACCGGTGGATGCCGCTATCCTGTATCTCGGTGGAAAGATCGGTGGTTAGCCCGTTCGTGGAGCAGCTCGAATCTTGAGAGAGAAGTTGGCTTTGAGAGGCGAACTGAGAGCTGGTCTGAATGAGATAGCCAGAGGAATGATGATGGTTCTCTTCAGTTGGGAGTGAGGATGTAAAGCTGGATGAAGGGAAAGCTTGGTTCTGCCCTACTTGGCTCTCCCCACGATCTCTGTGCACCTTGATCTGTACATTTCCCATACCATCTTGCTCACTGGAAAGCTCCTCTGGTTGTTGCGGTGTCGTAGACTTGGCAGGTGGTACTTGGAGTTGGTTTCTGTTTACACCTGCAAGATTTTAATTAAAAGCCATATTGATGAACAGGAGGAAAGCAACAGAAACAATTAGACAGATAGAGGGACAAAGAGCCTGGAGAGACAATAGACGAATTAGGAAACTAAGGCCTCTTTTATAATCATATACACGTATGAGTTGGTAAATTGCAACAGGTTTTTTATGGCATAAAATGCATTAAGCTTACTGTTTCTGTATCTCACAAGACATACCTGTAGGTAAATAATAATAATAATATTGGATATTTATATAGCGCACATATCCACCCTGCAGTTGCTATTCATTTATTTTTTTATTTTGTGTGTTGGGACAGATGGAAAGGTTGTACGTAACGTAGCTTTTTCACAGTACTTGACAGTACTGATTCAGCCAATTTGAAGCTCCCATATATGTGTAGTGATCAGAAGTTTCAAAAATTCAAAACTTTCTTATTTCTTGTCTTATTTCATTCAAACTTTCACTAGTCTACTTCTCAGATTTTTCTGCTTTAAGGATGGATTTCATTTAAGAGTGAAGGACATAGAAAGACATATATGAGAAAAGAACAATCTATTGAAGAAATTCATATGTTCTGATGATAAGTATCCTGTATTTCATCATATTAATCATCAACTGCATGTACAATGTATGCATGAAATAAACATTTGTCTTGTATAGTTTATCATCTGCTGTTAGCCAAAAGAAAGTCTTTACTCTATGGATAGGAATCATTAAGGTTGTGGGTCAAGGCTGACAATATGAAAGGAGAAAATTAAGCTTTTAAAATTAATGCTTAAAGTACATGTACTTGCAAAACAGCAAAGAGTCAATATTTCCCCAATCCCTATGGGCAATACAAATATTGGAGTAGTGGTTGAGTACCAAGGAAAGCATTTCATAATAAGATTACCTGAATTCATGAGTTGATCTCCATATCTTGGTAACTGTGACGTATCTGTTGGGGATTTGTGGATCTCCATTGGTGTTGCGGATAACTGTTGCTCAAGCCCATACAGCTCTTCCGGATCAGAACCACTCTCCTCCTTGATCTCGATGATACAATCATCTCTTGTCTCCGCTAAGGTCTCATCCACTGCAGGCTTGCTGGACGATGGGTTTTGATGATGCTGTGATTGAGTTTCTGGAATCCAACCGGATAATCCGAGGTCAGAATCTTGTGCAGGAGGCAAGCAGTGAGATTGGGTCTGTTGAACAGACATGGGCTGCAACGGTTGTATTTGAGATGATGAAAATGTCTGGACATGAACTATGGGCTGTGCTGGTGATGATTGTACTTGTTGAGCTGGACCCGCCTGCATTACGTGAGGCAGTGCTGACTGGGTAGGTTGTGTCCGAAGAGTTGAGACTGGGGGCGATAACTGTGATGAACTCATAGATACTTGGGGGACAGATATTGTTCGAACTGGGTGTGTCAGGGTGGGATGGTTATTCTGTGGTATGCTTGTTTGGGGAGTTGGCACATTTTGGGAAACAGCACCTATGAGAACTGGTGTTGACCTATTTGGGAAAGAAGATGCTGGTGCACTCAGAGGTTTGGGCAAGAGGAATCTGTGTTTGGGAACTTGAGGCTTATTACTCTGTGCCGGCTGAGATTTTTTGTTGTTAGCCATAGTACCTCTCCGTTGCACGCTACTAGTAGGTGATTGCATTGGGTTCTGTGTTACAGGAGTCCCATGGACGTTTGTTACAGGATGCGATACACCCCCAAGGACCACTGTTCCATCTAAGTGTGGCTGTTCAGGGATATCATTTTGCCTTGCATATTCAGGCATTTGTGACTTGAGGAACTCATCAACCTCTTTGTTCCTGTTGGTCATGTTGACCAGACAGTTCTTAATCTCTCTCGCTGTGCGCTGTGTCTTGATGCCCTGAGTCCTGTTGAATGTCCACATCATTTCAGTCCAAGCTTTCCTCTTGACCGCTTGCGTCTGCCCGTCTTTCAGCTTGGAGAAAACAACCGGTCGCTGCTTTCCCAGATTGAGAATCAAATTCTTCTCGAAAAGTGTGAAGTTGATCTTGCGAAATGACTGCTGCGCGGTCCCTCCTCCGGCCTTTTTCTGGAGGGTTTTGCGCATGATGTTCTGGAGGCAGGACTTCAGCTGGGCCACAGTTCTATAGCACGAGCAGGATTCGTTGAATTTTTTCATGATGAGGGCCCAAGTGCCAGACCGTATCCGTTTAACAGCTCCAGGGTGCAGCAAATCAGGAGCCTCCTGTCGAACTAGATCCAGCAAGACTTTCCTTTCTGCCTGCGTCATACCGACGAGGGCAAAGGGTCTTGTGTCATCTGATTGTCGCATCATTTTAGGGTGTCTCTTCTAAAGTCAAACCAGCTGCATCAAAAGAAAAGAAAAATGCAAATCATTGACAAACCATGATATGAAATAAATTCAGGTCATTGGATTCCAATAAGCTAGTTCACGGTTGCAGTCTGAGCATGAGCAGATAAAGGTCAATGCAGAACAAATTTTGAAATACACGGAGACGATATACTGGATACGTGCTCATGAAAGTTATGTAATCATAATGCACATTTAGTGCACTCCATGATACACAGGTGGAGAGTATTCTTTACAAGGGGAAACAAAGGCTATTTATAAAGCACCTCCATCGCTGTAGGAGTGATTATTTCAAAATGTACAAAGTGGGACCTCTTCATGTTTTGAAGATCTGTGGATATTCGGGGTCATTGCAGTAATGTGCTAACCGTGAACTGGTCTATTATGGTGTATTTACTGTATTCTAGTCTTATAGAAGTGTGAACTTGCCGGAAAAATCTGGAACTTGACGGTATCTAAATTCCTGTTGAAACACTCCATATAATACATGGCTTTTTGCAAAAATGAGACTACCCCGGCCGTACCCCTCCCCCCAGACAATCACAAATTGGCATGGAGCTACATACATACATGTACATGAGTGGATCCCCAAATAACATCACCCATATAAACCATATTATGAGTGGACCTGGGCCTGACCAATTACTAGTAGTAGTACATCCAAGGCTTTTGGAAATGGTGTAAACTTAGACTCTAATGAGCTCATTAGGCTAATTATGATTTTTAAGACAATTGCATTACTTAAAAATAAAAACTGGTGTCATAAATCAAATCCTCACCATGCAAAACCCTGGAAAAGTCATATTATCCATGTTTTCAGGCTTCCTAAACTAAGATTAGCAACATTATTAGGCCTACAAATTGCACATAATATATGCTTATTGGATTGTTATGCTAATTTGGCAAATTATACTATACCCACATGAAATTAATGTGTCGTCATTCAAAAGTGATTAACAATGATGCATTGCACCATTTTCAGGCTTTATAGATAAACAATGACAATGAAGTCCATATATTGAACATATCCTAATTAGCTCATTATGCTAATTATGATATTTAAGACAATTGCATTACTTAAAAATAAAAACTGGTGTCATAAATGAATTCCTCGTCATAGAAAACCCTTGAAAAGTCGTATTACCCATGTTTTCAGGCTTCCTGGATTGAGATTAGCAACATTATTACATATTGCACATAATTAGATGATTATGCTAATTAGGCTATAAAAAAGTTGCTCAAGGTTGCCGAGCTGGCAACCAAGCTGAATTTACTTCAATACCCATCTAGAACATGAATCAACAAAAAACCTTGTACTTATCAACTTTTCCAGGTCAGAAAAATTTCTACAGGACTTAAAGTATTAGAGAAAGAAAACGATTCGTTGTACCGTTCTCGACTCTTAATCCTTGTCTTAATTCAGTTCCCCCCCCTCCTTCCCTCTTGCGTGAAGCGTGGAAGCTTTTACGTTTCATTAAATCGTCGGAGAAGGAAAACGATTCGTCGTATCGTTTTCGACTCTTAATCTTTCACAATGATTATTGACCTCCTTATATTTATATGGAAGACTTGAGAAGACAACTGTTTAAGGGTCTAGAGCATGCCGTGTAGACTAAAATGTGCAATGTTGTTCAATTTTTGAATTCTTTGTTTAAAAAATTTGCTTGCTGTCAATAGTGTATACATTTTTTATACATTTCAAATGTCTAGTCCGGTTAAAAATAGCACGTAATGATTTCATTATTTGACACGTACTTCACATTTATTTATCTTATCGATAAGCGAAACGATTTGCTTTAGTATCATATAACAAATATAACAGTAATGACAAGTATGGTTTTCCTCAAAAAATTTCATTATACAATGTATATTCATCGTTATGGAAAATGTTGTATAATATACAACAATGGGCATAACATTTTCCAGACCAATGATTTAATTACGTTTAATATTGAAGCTGTTGCCCTTTTGAACTTGAAATAATAAGTAGCCTTGAAAGTGTCGCAATAAATCATGTGTGAGTGAGCTTGAAGTTTAACGGTGTAGGTTTTTTTGATACTGTATAGCCTTTATTCTGTTTTTAATGAGATATATCTCCAATCAAATCAAACTGAGTGATGTTATCGTACAACTTAACAATATCAATCTTCAATAAGCCTGGGAAACTTGAAAATTGCATTACAATGTGAATTCATTGTCAGTGAAAATGTAATACAATACACAACAATGGGCAAATAATTGTTTCCAGACCAATGATTTAAGTAAGAAGAACTTACATTTTATATTGAAACTGTTGCCGTTAGTATATACATCAGGCGCGGATCCAGGGATTTCTTAGGGGGGGGGGGGGGGCAAAATTTGAAATTATGCGAGCCAAATATTGGTTCGTAATGGTTGACCAGCAGTGACGTAATTGGGGGTTGGTGGGTGCGAAACGCGGAAGCTTTGACATTTCAATAAATTATTAGAGAAAGAAGACGATTTGTTGTACCGTTCCCAAAAAATAATCCTCGTCTGAATTTAGTTTTCCCCCTCCCGCGCTAAGCGGAAGCTTACGTTTCATTAAATCATTAGAGAGAGAAGACAATTTGTTGTGTCGTTATCGACTCTTAATCTTTGTCTAAATTCAGTTTTTTTCCTACGTTCTCTTCCTTCCTTTTGCCCCCCCCCCCCCCGATCCACAAGTTGTTGGCAAGAAAATTGCGACTGATATCCCACTTCTTTTCTTTTCTTCTTCCTCTTTTTTCCTTCCCTGTATCTCCTCTTTTCCTTTTTTCTTTCCCTTTCCTTCCTTCTCTTTTATTTTTTGATTGGGGGGGGGGGGGGGGGGGGGGGGGCAACAGCCTGGGAGGCAAGTCCTTTTGCCCCCCCCCGATCTACTTCTTCCCTCTTTTCTTTTCTTCTTCCTCTTCTTTTTTTCCCTTTCTCTCCTCTTTCCCTTTCCCTTTTTTCCTTCTCTCTCTTTTCTCTCTCTCCTTTTTTTTCTTTTTCTTTTTTTTGCGGGGGGGGGGGGGGGGGCAAGGCCCGCTCTCCCCCCTGGATCCGCGCCTGCTATTGATTCAGATGTTTTCAAGCAGCAAAATTATTATTAAAGAGAATGACAGAAGATAGACCTGGAAGCTCAACTGCTGTCTCAGCATTTATTTGCGGTAAAGGTAAAGCCACTAAAGGCAAAATAAAAAACAAATCTCATTCACTCGAATCACAATTGACATTCTTCAATGCTTTTGCAATTGCTCAGCCGTCCTCTACTACGTTAACAATACAATACAAATTTCATATTGCGAAAGTTTTTTTTAAAATTATTTATATGACATATTGCGAAAGTTTCTAGTGATCTACAGCTACAGTCAAAGGGATCGCGCTACACCTAAGGCAAGTAAGGGCTGAACAAAGCCCGGTACACGTACATGAGGTTCCTCGCCGAAGCCTAGGCCCTAGGTGGGTACAAATTGCAGGACTTGTCTAGCTTGTTGTTGAACTCGTCTAGTTTCGATACTGGTAATGACAGTGTACAATGGTGTAAAACAATGCAATTCATACCATACTTGGAGCTAAAATTTTATAATTTCGTTCTTCTTGATGTACGTATACATTAAGAAATTTGGTGTATACTCACATTGATTGGAACCTCCTAAAGTAGTTGGTTACACATGATAAACACATGCGGGTACGTTGTTTACTATACGCTGCGGTACATATCATGTGTATGCATAATCATGTACGTATACCGTAATGTGTACAGTGTTTGTAAATTCGCCAAGGCCAGGCCATCCAGCGCCTTATAAATATGGGGCGGTGCTAGAAAGTTGCAATACCCTCAAATCAAGCGTAAGTCTCGCGACGGAACTCAATTACGCTCCATTAGTGGGCCTATACTACAGACTTTATAGTAGTGTAGTATTAAGTATAGTATTCAGGGAGGAAAATGGCCGCGTTTCGCATGTGGACGTGATTTGCGTCGAGAGCAGTTTTGAGCAGAATTTTATCACCGGTGACGAATATGTGTGACTTATAAACGGTAAATTCTATCAATTTCAACTCTTCTGTGATACTGTGTTAAACTTATAGTCAATATTACGAGCAGATTTATGCGTAATCATGGAGAATAACTCGCCACTCAGTAAGAAACTAAAGTTGAACAATGAGCACGCGGACTCAGCAGTTCCTCACCAGGCTTCCCCGGCAACCGCCGGGAACGTTACAGTGTGCGACCCCCCAGCGAAACGGAACATTCTCTCATCAGTTTCCTACTCTACCCCAGCGGCAGTAGCCGACCTATCAATGAACAAGCCACCACAATGGTTCGTACAATTCTTTGCTGATTTTGAGAATAGACAAGAGGCTCGTATTGAGTCACTTCTCGACAAAAAACTGGGTGACCTTACTTTTAAAGTCGCAGATCATGAAGAGAAGATCAAATGTCTGTCTTTTGAAGTTGATAATATGAAAGATGCTGTACAGGCCTTGCAAATAGAGAATGGAAAGCTGGAAAGCAAGTTAGACGATCTTGAAAATCGTTCTAGAAGAAATAATCTCGTAGTCTTTGGGATCCAGGAATCAGATAACAAGGAAGACTGCAGGAAGGTGATTCAAGATTTCATGCGTTTTGCAGAGGTGCCTGAGGATGTTATCAAGGATATTCAACGATGTCACCGTACACCATCATTTCGGCCCCAGGTAAAGGAGAATTCTCAACAATATCCCAGGAGGATCCACTTAGGTTTTGGCGCCTACACTGCGAAAGAGAGGGCCCGAAAAGCCTGCATTAAGAAGCTTAAGGCTACTACATCATTATACCAAGACCACAAGGTTTTCGTTGCGGAGGATCTCTCGCAACGTGTTCTCCAACTCAGAAAAGCTAAGGCTGGTTCATTCAAGCGTCTCAAGGAAGAGGGCAAAAGGCCTTTTTTCGTTTTTCCGGACAAGTTATGTCATAGGAATCCAGATGGAAAGATGATCATCGCTTAACTTTCTGCT